TATGAACTGACCCCAAAAAAACTTTGGCGGGCCCGTACGCGGGTTTTGGCGCCCATTTTGGGGATTCGGAGCGGTACGTGCATATAGATTAAGTTCCCGGAATTTCAGCCCCGCAGCTTTTATAAGCTCTGAGATGAAAGTGCGTGACAGACGCACACACAGACACACAGGCACACTGACACACAGACAACCTCTCGTCAATATGCCTTTTTCGCATTGCATTGCTGCAAAAAACGCATAAAAAAAGGAGAGCGAAAGGCTCACAGAGCCACACCATCCACAACGTCGCGGCAGACGAGCGCAGCGCACAGCGGGTAGCGCACCTTTGTTGATCGTGAAGTACGAACCTTTTTCATCAAAATCGCTCGTGCAAAATCCTACTAAGTACTAAGTAGGATTTTGCACGAGCGATTTTGATTAAAAAGGTTCGTATTTCACGATCATCAAAGGTATAGACAGGGATTTCAGTAGTTTTGCTTAAAGGTTTCGGCGCACGAAATCTCAGAAATGGTGCGAAAGCAGTCTTATGTATGCACATGGGCTCTCATTATGTGTGGTCTTCTATGGCTTTATTTCTATAGCTATCACGAATTCTATATTAAAAGTGAAAAGAAGGAACTGCTGGCATCTGAGAGCAATCCCGAAGATTCCGGCTACCGTCAGAATCCACCACTATTCCGGCAACCGCCATGCTCCATCGCAGATCTTGAATTCCGCTACGCCTGGTATAAAATCAATCAAGTCGTCGGATTGTTTCAGCCATTTTCATATCTCATTGAACCAGCAGTTTGTGCAGGTATTCATGCCAAAGAGTTCTGTGTTAATTAGAAGTCAAAGTTCCCCTTCGAACTGAGGCATTCGGAGGTGCCATGCGCTGGCAAGGCCGACGATGGTGCCCTATCCCAAGAACTGCTTGCAAGCAAGCTAATGACGAATTTGATTCGCTGCCATATACCAGCGTCAATCTATGCTAAAGCTAGTGAATGAATGGTAGAAGGATGGGTGACGTACTATTCTTCAAACTTCAGGAAAATAATTGTGCAACTAAGTGTTACTTGGGGAAGGAACATTTTGTTAAATTTCAGCTTTTCCGGTCCCCGAATTAGCAGATTTTCTGTCAAAAATTTTCACTGGCTCATACGTGGCAACCACAACACACCTGTGAGCGAATTTGAAATCTTTGAGTTCTGTATGGGCGGGAAACCTTCCTCAAAATTTTCATACTCCTAGCTTTTCTGGCTCTCTGATTAGCAGTTTTTCGGCTAAAGTTTTTATGTACT